AGATCTAGCCAGGAATATAATTAAACAAGTGACACGATTTTGAGTTAGTGACAGAAGTGAGTATCTGTGACCCGGATAAGAGAGTTGCTCTTTCTTGGAAGAATTGTCTTGGTCGAGAATGAAATATAATTCAGGGTCACAGCCTGGTTCTGTGCCTAGTTATGTATGCACAATTGCCTACTTATGCAGATGTTGGGCTATTGTTTTTCAACTCTTAGTGGTACTCAAAATATAGGAGAGTTAATTAGAATATAAGCATTAACAGTTATGATCCTATTATTTTAAAAATTATAGTTGCGAGAATTTGGCTAGTAAGTAAAAGGCTGAATGGCTATCAGGCTGAACTACCAGAATAGGAAGCTGTACAATCCAAATTGGATAAAATAACACATACTTAGTAATAGCATAAAATTATAACTACAAAAATCACAAATGAAGGAGTATTAGATTGCAAAAACATTGCTTAATAGATACTAGCTAGAATTGAAAATATAGATATTTAGAATTAATAGTGTATTTGGAGTTCTGGGAACAAATTAACAAACTGGGTAGAATATAGATGCAGCTCTCAGTCCTTACAAAAGAAACTTCTTTTTATAGTGGATGGTGGTTCATATAGAAACTCACAACTGGTCAAAGCACAAAGAATAAGTGTTTAGGGGGTGCTCAGCCATAAAGAGACATCTATATCATAGCCCCGCTCCCTAAGGGTCAGGGAATATTGTGCAAGAGTGAGGTGGAAAGATCGAAAAAGCCAGAAGGGAGGACCAGTATGGAACAGTGTCTTCTGAAACAACAGGAATGCTGCACTCAAGAACTCACAGCAGCTGTGGTGTCTTGCACAAGACCTGTACAAGAATAAGCCAGCTAATATTCCAGCATCGAGTAGGAAGATGCTCATAAGTCCCCACTCCAGTTAAGGAGCTATTGACAATGGATGACTTCTGGGAGAGAGATAGTCAGTTTTCTTTAAGGCTGTGGCTGCTGGTAGGTTGATCACACTTCAGTGGGTGGCCCTACACCCATGCACATAGGTTTAGCACAAATTGGACTTAGTGGTTTAAAAAGTTATGGAAATGAAATTGGGAATAGGGTAAGATCTTGAAGGAGTTATGGATGAATATGATCAAAACATTTTGTGTATGCAGAAATTCTCAAAGGATTAATAAAACAAATTCTATTGGATAGAAATGGAGAACAATGAAATTGTGGAATATTAGTTTTTATTCATAAGTTCTTTGCTATTTGATTTTTTACCACATGATTGGGCTAATTAGATGAAGACTAAAAAAAAATCAGCCTGTTCATAAGTATATATTTTCCCAATAGTATTCCTCATAATGGCTAAAAATATAATATTCCTTCTATAAATAGTGAAAGTTGAGTGAAATTTATTTCAGAATCAGTTTAATTTATTGCATTGTAATTGGTATAGCATGCACATCACTCTCTCTTAGAATTCCTTGGGCATTTGCTTGAATAACTGAACTTGAATTAAGTTTACATGGCACACAAATTTGAGTAAGTGAATATTTACAAATATTTTTATTCATTACATTGCATATTTCTTTATAATCTTTTCTAAATCAAAGTTTATTAACTATTCCCTTTATAACAGGAAAGCAAATTCCAACAATTGATACTCCAGGGTTCACAGATGACTGGTTACAAAGCCTTACCTTGTAAAGACTCTCTTTCACATACTGAATTTAGTTCACATAAATAAATCAATCATCTGTGTAGAAAATAGTGTGCTTGCTGGCAACTGAAGCATTATCTTTTCATAAGCCCTTGTAAAACGTAACTGTTTTCCATGTGAAGTCTCAAGATAGCTTCCAAAAATTGCTATTTTCAGTTTCCTATGAAAGTGGAAAGATACTCAGAGCTGGAAACTGTTGAAAACCTACTCACAGAGTCACACTAACGTAGACTTTTGAACGTGGACATGTATTGCACAAGGGAAAAGAGGAGTCTCTCTCTCTCTCTCTCTCTCTCTCTCTCTCTCTCTCTCTCTCTCTCTCCTCTCTCTCTCTCCCTCCCCCTTCCTCCTTCCCTCCCCCCCTCTCTCTCCCTGCCCTCTCTCTGTCTTACTTTTTTACTTTTCCTGCTGAATTGTCCTGGCAGAAACCGATGAGGCACTTCACATTTTTAAAAATTGTTAATGTTTTGTTTGTGTGTTCTGACTCTGTTTATGATACTTTCTTAGGATTATTTTGTATTGGTTTTTGTTGTTTTTTATAAGTGACACATTCCCCAGTTGAATATCAGATTCACAAGAGTAGGCACTTGGTCAGTTTTATTTTTTGCTATTTCCCCAGAACGTTAGTATTGTTGGCACCCAGCTAATAACATGTGCATTAAAGATAGCATGACTACAATGCACATTATGTGTTTCTTATTATGAGTTAGAACTCTTTTCTAGTTTCATTCTGTTGCTATGATAAATATCTTGGCAAAAAGCAGTCTAGAAAAGAAAGGGTTTGTTCAGCTTACAATTCAGGTTATAGTCTATAATTGAGGGAAAGTTAAGGCAAGAACTCCAGCAGCTAGTCACATCACATCCACAGTGAAGAGTAGAGACACATACATGTGTAAGGGCCTATTTCTTTACCTGCTAGATGTCATCTAAATTTCTTATCTCTTATACTGTTCAGGAACCCCTGTCTAGGGAAAGGTGCCACTCACAATAGGCTGGGTCTTCCTATATCAATTAAAAATCAATTAAAAAAAAAAAACAGTCTCACACAGACAAGCCCACAGGATGAACTAAACTAGATAATCTTCCATTAAGATCCTTGGCCAACACAGTTCACACTCCATGTTTGTTTGTGTTTGTGTGTGCATGTGCTTTTTTTTTTTTAAAGAGATAGAGAAAAATACAAAGAAGCATAAAGATAGATGGATCTGGGAAGAGTTGGTGGAGAGAAAAGGATATGATTAAAATATATTGTATTAACTTCTCAATAAAGCAACAAAAGCATAAAAAAACTTTCCATGTGAGTCTAGGCTGTGTCAAGTTGAAAGTAAAACTTAACCAGCAAGCCTTTTCCAAGTGTATTACACATACACACATTTAACCTTCACAGTAACCCTACTAGGTAGGTATTCCTTACATTAGTCTCATTTTTATGAGTGAGAAAACTAAGTCCTAGAAAGGCCAAATAACCAGCCTTGAGTCACGCTAGCTGTAGATGGAGCTGGATTCATTTTGGCTCCCTCCATGGGCCATTAGATTTCAAATGAGAGGTTGAGTCTTCTCATGTAGAATGGTGGAAAGTGGGAAGAGGATTGGTGGTGGGTAGAGACAAGACTGTATCCAACAGTGGTGATCTTGGCAGAGGTTGTCTCAGCCCTGGATTTAGAACATTTCCTGTTTTGCAGGGACAGGTGTCATTCAATGTGTGAAGGGAGGGGAGGCAGCCCTCACAATGGCTCAGGCTTATGCATGACACCACATACAATGATATCACTGAAAAAAGCAAATTGCTTCGCCCTAGAACAGAATACTGTGTCTATAGAGTGATTTTCCCCTTGCAAAGCATCTGATGCACTTTATCTTACAAATTACACTGTGAGGAAGCATTGTGATTTCCACTTTGCTAAGATGCAGGAATTGGAAAGGCTGGATCATGTACACTGCACCAGGCATATGATGGGGCCTGAGAGCTTGTTTTCCTGTTCCATTGCTCTTGGATATTAGAGTGATTCCCAGGTGTCTGGAATGACAGGGAAACTCTGACAGTCATTTGATTTTTTTTTCATTTTTTAAGTGTAAATAATTTGGACACCAGATAGTTTTTCAGTCCTAGAAGTTGCCTACTTACACAAAGTCACATGTGAGTGTGATCTTTTATTGCTCCAAAATAATTTTTATTGTATGATAATCATTCTTTACTTTGGAAATAAAAATGTTTGTATTTACACAACCTAAGGATTAGTTACATTTGCTTAGTAATTAGAAAATTTCAGAAATCGGATTATTCAAATCCAATCATCATTTGCTCCCTACCTGGCATATAGTAGCAGTGAGTGACCTCCTAACAGGCCTTGTCATTGTTTTTCTAGAATGGAATTCTATTTCTGTGAGCAGATTGGAATGACGAGCCTCGATAAGAGGGAGGATCTTCACCCAGTAGTTTCTACCCCAGCAAGAGGATCTTAAAACACTCAGGAGGCAGCTACTTTAAAATGTACCCAGGTGTCTTGTATCCCTCTGTATCTTCCCTTGTTCTCCATGTCCCTTTGTGTCTTTCCCTGTCTGCCATGTTTCTCCATGTCTGCTCTGCTCTGTGTCCCGACTGCATTCCCATATGTCCTTGCTGTCTTTCATGTCCTTTTGTCCCCGCTGCATCACTTCTTTGTTCCTTCGTGTCCTCTTATGTCCCTTTGGTGTTCCCCTCCACTCTTTTCTCACTGCCTTCTACTGGTGGGAATGAATGTGCAGAGTGTACACTGAGAAGGGCCCACTGACAGTCTGTGGTGAGAGAAGAAGGTACTTTGACAGCCAGCATCCCTTGGACGGTCCACCTCCACACCTGACTTCTCTTGTACACACTGGCTCCACCCTTCTGCTCTGTGTACAGACTCATGTAGCATGCTCGTTCTGTGTAAGTGATATCACCAGTCAGCAGTCTTAGGCACCTTAGAGGGGACAGAGAAGCAGGGCACCTCCTTATCTATCAGCTTCAAGTGACTTAGGTGGTAGCCTGGTGTCTGATTGCAGCTTTTACAAATACTGGCACCATTCTTGAAAGTAAGGGTATGCATAATCATCTTACGGAATTCATGGGAATCAAGAGAAGTATCAAAAGTTTTCACAATATTGCCAGTGGGGTTGTTCTGGTAGTAACAGGTGGCCACTAATACCTTTGTATTCTGCATTGTCTTCCTTTGTCCATCTCCATGTGGTAGGAAGCATCCTTTGTCTCCTAGGACCAGGTTAATATTAACATTTCTTTTTATGGAGACAAAAATTCCCATAGGAAAAGAAAGGTAATTACCTTTTGTCATGACGATTCCTGCCAGTGTTTTGTGGCGGGCATATACAGATGTCAGGCCGACTGTCAGTTCACGGAACTTCTGTGTGACCAGCTGGGACACAGAGTCTGCAAAATCCTGTAAGACACAAGCGTCAGTGCTCTTCGATGTGGTGGACAGAAGCAACTCGTGACAGCTGGCTGTTGCATATCCCTCTCCTCAGCTCTGCCTCACGAAGTCCTCCCGAGGAGGCCCCACTTGTCTCCTGTCTGCTTCTCCCTGGTCCAGGACTTTAGCAAGGAGTTGCGCTGAGTGTGAGGAAGTAACCCCCAGCATTGCCTTTGCTGAAAGTCCAGCTTGTGCCTGATTTGATCCTTGCTCTGTTTCTGGGCAGGTTCCTACCTCCTGTCTGAGAAAGTTCCCACTCTACATCTGAGTAGGCCCTTGTCTTGTGTCTGAGCTTGTCTTGTCTTGTGTCTAAGCTGGTGCTTGCCTGTGTGCAAGCAGGTTCATACCACATGTTTTTGCACTGTGTCTGAGCTGGGTACTTTCCTGTGTCTGAGCAGGTCCCTGCCCTGTGTCTGAGCAGGGCACTTCCCTGGGTCTGATCAGATCACTTCCCTGTGTCTGATCAGGGCACTTCACTGTGTCTGAGCAGGTCCCTGTCCTGTGTATGAGCTGGGCACTTCCCTGTGCCTGAGCAGGGCACTTCCTTGTGTCTGAGCAGGGCACTTCCCTGTGTCTGAGCAGGTCCCCACCCTGGGTCTGAGCAGGTCCCTACCCTGGGTCTGAGCAGGTCCCTACCCTGGGTCTGAGCAGGGCACTTCCCTGGGGCTGATTAGGGTACTTCACTGTATCTGAGCAGGTGCCTGCCTTGTGCTCTTGACTGAGCAGGCAACCTTTACCTGAAAACATACAGTTCCTTCTTATTTTTGTCCTGCATAGCAGCAATCTCAGGGGGGACAGTCAGGTGAAACTTGATGGGAGACATCCTGAAAGACTTCCGGGGTGGGGGTTACATTCATTCTTGGTCTACTTTCTTTTAGACAGTGACTCTCAATCTTCCTAATGCTGCCCTTTAATACAGTTCCTCATGTTGTGGTGACCCCCAACTATAAAGCTATTTTGTTACACTTTATAACTGTAATTTTCCTACTGTTAAGATTTATAATGTAGCTATCTGATATGCAGAATATCTGATATATGACCCCAAAGGGGTCATTAACCACAGATTGAGAACCACTGTTTCAGAATCAGAGACCAGTGTTTAAGTCGCCAGAACACCTCAGGCTACTCTTCTGGAGACCTGTTTACCACAGCTCTCCTTGTGCCATAACCTCTCCTCTCACCTTCAGGCAGATGAACCCACAAACACAAGTATGTACACATGAACACATACAGCATGTAGTACACATAGCATACACATGCACACACATGTACATACAAATATATATGCACTCACAATACACAATGAGTACTGTACACACGCATGCAGGCACACATGTATACACACATATACATGCATATCTATACACATAAGCATATACATTTATACATACATACACACATACACACAAGTGCATGTACACCAACTTATCCTAAGGCCAGCTCACATTTCTATTAAAGCAGCATGTGTATGGTAAGTATCAAGGCCCAGAAGGTGTGACTCTGTGGTCACTTCTCCTCCAGGTCCTGCAGCTGTAACCCTGTGTTCTAATTATGGAATGCCTTTTCACTAGGGAAGCTTGCATGATGTGACTGTCACAAGCAGCATAGAAATTTGGTTGGAATCCCAAATCTGCAGCCCATGAGCTGGGATAAGTCATTCAAAACCTCTGAGCCCCGTTTAACCAGTTTACAAGGTCATCCTTTTAATTTTCATCTGATCATGTTTTGGGAATGATTAAATGGATTATCACTTCTTAGATGGTTAGCATAGTGCATCACACTTGGTAAATGCTCAATAATGATGCTGCAACTGTTATTCTTATCATTATTGTCCCTGGTCCTTGCAGGTATTGACCAAATCTTTATGCAACCAAATAAAAATATCAAAAATCAAACCAGCTTTTTTTTTTTGTTTTAGTGAGTTGGATATTAATGCTTCTGTCATGTGTACATTGATATTGTGCAGGCAACTGATGTTTAGACATCTGCTATATAAAACTAAGAGATAAATTGGCAGGTTAAAGATTTCATTTGTATGCAATAAAATGTGTTCATGTGCAAACAGGGCTGCCTCAGGAAACAATGCTGCCCACAAAAACAACCTGACATATCCCCTCCCAATTCTTCATTGATGAAGGGTGGGCAGTGGGGAGGCCCAGGGCTGCGTCTCTTCAGCACAGCTTCTGGGATTTGAAGGTCTTTTTCTTTGCTACTGTCACTTCATGGCAGGTGCTTGTGTTTTGAAATGCTTTATAAATCGCTATGGAAACCCTGTAAAGGACAGATACTCCACAAATTGGGCTCTCCCTAAGTGGCTGTAGTGCTGGGTGGGTAGGAAAAAGGCAAGCCCTGAGTTTTCTGGGACTTTTGTTTAGGTGGCTTCTCCCCAGCTCTTCTTCCACTCAAGCTGTTTGGTGAGAGACCCTGACCTCCAGGGGTTTGCCAGAGAGAGAATTTTAACAATAAATCCTGGATTGTCTTGGGATTGCCCTGTCCTTTTATGTCTTAGAGACTGAGGTCTAAAGCCTACATTTAGAAACACTAGGTGCTGGGAAATACTGTAACTAGGGTTCTTGGAACAGTAGAATCTTATTGTATCATGGTTCTGGAGGCTGAATCCCAAGATTCATGTGTCATAGGGCTGCCCTTCCTTGAAGGGTGTCAATAGAAGATCCTTCTTGCCTCCTCCAGTGCCTGGTGCCCTAAAGTTTGTCACTAGGGGAGGCCTTGAGGTTTTATAGCATGATCCTATCTCTGGTGTTCTGGACTGTGGACCCAGAGTGGTGATTGGCCCGCACAAGCTCCGTGCCTTCCCTGCTGAGATGAATGGCAGCTCCAGGAACTGTAAGGCAAAACAAACCCTTTCTCCTTTAAGTTGCTTCTGAGATGCTGGCATGAGGCTCCATCACAGCCTCTGTCTTCCTATGGCTTTCTCTCCATGCCCTTGTCTTTTCCTCTTCTGTCTCCTGTATCTCACTTTGCACTGAGTTCATGTCACATAAATTATCCAGGAAGAGCTCATCTCAACCCCCTTAACCTGATTGCATCCACAAAGATCTTTTCTCCATATGGTTGCAGTCACAGTTATTGCCTGTGATTTGGGGACACTGTCCCTCTGCTGTGCTCTGCCACTGTTCTTTCACTTCAGGCCGTAAAAGAGAGGATAGCTATTTTTTCCCACAGAGGCACAATCCATTAACTGCTTTTCTGATTGCTGTGACCAACCACCTGACAAGAAATAATTAAGGAAGGCGGGGTTTATTTCAGTTTATAGTTGCAGGAGCCACAGTCCATCATGGTGGAGGACGACATGGCAGAAGAAGTGTTATGTTCACAATCAGAAAGAATAGAATGAATAGGAAATGAGGCCAGGTTGGAAAAAATCCTCAAATCCTGCTCTAGGAGTTCTACTTTCTCCAGGAAGGCTCCACCTCTTGAGGACCAAATGTTTGTACATGTGAGTTTATGCGACGCCTTTCACACTAAAGCCACAGTACATGGATTTCCTTAATTTCTACTTGTTTTTGAGCAGCTCAACTATTAATTTGAAAAAAAAAAACAAAGGGGCTGTTTTAATGACAGCATCATGGGTCACATGTGAATGTCCTCAGTGGCACACTAGGAAGCAGCCTTCACAGCAGGCTCCGATCCTCACTATGATCAAGGAGGGTGGCATCATCCCCATCTAAAGAGAAGGTCTGATGTCAAATCTTGCTACCTGTGCTATCTCAAGAACTTGGAAACCTAGTTTTGAGCTGGAGATAGGAAGGGACTCAGCATTTGGTTGACATGCACAGTTCCTCCTCCTAGGGGTACAGATGCTGTCAAGTGCTCAGAACGAGAGAAAATGACCCAAACAGCTTCTCAGGGAATAGAGAAGCCCCCATCACAAGGGCTGTGTGGTGGGCATGGGGCCATCTGTTTTATCTTTCCAGAGCTACCAGGAATCTTCAAAGGGGATGTTCTCCTAGAACCCAGATTTGATGGCTCAGGCCTGGCCTGCAGAGTCCTTATTCCATGCAAGACCTTGCGTTTTGAGGTCTTGTGCAGGTTTTGGAAATTGAATGAAGCTGTCCACCCTGGATCCTGAGCCTGTAGCATCTATACCCACAATCCCCTGCTGGTTCCCATTTGGTCAGAGCATTGAGAAAGGCTTGGTTTGAAGAGGATGCTTGATGTAGACTGAACCTTGAGGGAAGAGAGTGGGATTTCTTGTGTTTCCTTCCTCATATTTCCATTTCTCAGGTGGCAGAATGAATTTGTCCTCCTCCCCCTGCTCAACTGTGGAAGACACCAGCAAATATGTTACTGTCTGGTGCCTCCCTGAACTTCCATTGTTTGGTAATGACTGTCCTACTCTGGAGGCCTCAATGACATCCTGTCATCTCCACATGACCTATGATTTTCTTTTTATCTTGGGGATCAGTTTCTAATTTTTCATGCATGTTAATCTCTTTCCCAAGTCTTTTAAAGAGCAGAGCATGTGTGTGTCTTTTAAAATCTCTTTCTTGGCATTGGACATTGTGTTTTCCTTAGAGTTATTCTAAACAGCATATTTAATTGTCCTTTCTTTTGATCATGAAATATTTTAGTGTTTGAAGATGACAAGGCCTAACAGGAGACATTTCTTAACTCTTTTGTATGTGCTTGATAGGGCTCCTGCTGAAGTCCCCAGAACAAGACTCCCTCCAAACACTGAGTAATTACATAGATTACAGAAAGACTAACTTCATTTTGGAAATCTAAATATCACTCTCTCTCTCTTAGGAATGGGAGGAAGCACAAACAGACAACAGAGACTTGGAGCCTTTGTATGCATTATCTCATTTAATCCTCCCAAAGAAGGTACTACTTTATCCTCTTTAGTTACTGAAGTGGTGCCACCAAAGTCACCTGGCCAGGATGCAACATACACACAATTTAACCCCCACTCCCAATATGACTTAGGCCGTCCTTGCTGTTTTGGTAAC